GTAGGGCTCTTGTCTGTGTGTCCTGTTGGACCCAGCAAGCCTCCTTTCCGCTTTCTGGTCCCTGGGTCCCCAAACCCATGAGCAGTGAAGGGCTCTTGCAGGGGCTGGTGGGCCCGGCTCGTGTGGGGCCTCCCTTCCTCACGGGGATGCCCTGTTCGTCCCCTGTTTGTCGGCAGGCAGCAATGCCCCGGCTCCCACTTCTTAGAACACTGCGTCCCCCGACTGGACCTGGGTCCAGGGCTGCACGGCCCTTCCCAGCTTAGGGCCAAGGAGGAGGCAGGGCTGCCTGTGCTCCTGGGGTGCCATTTCCAGACAGTGGTGCCCTCCTGGTCTGGCTGGCAGGAACCCCAATTCCAAGCCTCTTCCTCCATGAAGGCTGCCCTGTGTCTGCCCTACAGGGGCAGGGGTCCCTCTCGAGTGGCCCCTCACCGAGCTCCACATAGCCCCAGTCAGGGGAGTGGCCAAGCCCCTGCCCAGGGCGTTGGGATTTGAGCCCATGGCCCTGCCTTGAGCTGGACTGCGGCCCATGTCTTTCAGGGCATTCCCGAGGGCCTGTGGCTCCCTTCATGGCCTCGTCCTGCCATGGGTCTGTCCCTGCACATGGCCCCAGTAGGCTTGGGGACAAGGCCTGGTCTCCTGGCCTGGCTGAATCTCACAGGTGCCCTTCCCATGACATGAGGGCTGGAGCACTGCCGAGCCCCGGGGCCCTGCACACAGGGCCTCCAGCCCCCCAACCTCGCTAACCTGGGGGGCGAGGTCCCCTGAGGCCCTGCCAGCCTGAGCCCCACTGCCTGTCCTCCACTGCTTGTCCTTGTCCTTGCAGCCGAAGGGCCGGGGCCGGAGCCCACCCTGTGGAGTGAGCCTGCTGAGCTGCCCTCCGGAGAAGGCCCCTTTGAGAGCACCAGCCCCCAGGAGCCCGCGGCCACTGGGCCACCGGCCCCCACGGCCCCACCGGGCCCTGAGGACAGCACCGTGCGGGAGCGGCTGGACCAGGGCAACGGTATGGCCTGGGGACTGGGACAGTAGGGGACAGGACAGGACGGAGTGCAGGCAGTCGGGGAGTGGGTGGCCGGAGGGCGAGGGCTCAGGCTGACTCCATCCTCCGCCCCGTCCCGCAGGCTCGCTGGGTCCCGGCGCCATCGCGGCCATCGTCATCGCTGCCTTGCTGGCCACCTGCGTGGTGCTGGCACTCGTGGTCGTCGCGCTGAGAAAGTTCTCCGCCTCCTGAAGCAAATAAAGGGGCCGTGCCCAGACGTGGCAGCAGTTGCCTGCTCTCCCTAGCGCCCGTGTGCGTGCGTGTGTGCGTGTGTGTGTGTGTGTGTGTCCATTGGGGGTGAGCACGCGCAGGTCTGTGGGGCGTGAGCGGAGTGGGGAGCATGCAGGACCAGGAGAGGCCATGTGCATGCAGGAAAGCCCAGAGCGCCCCCAAAATAGGGGCACATGGTGTGCAGTCCCTCCTCCCCAGAGCAGGACAGGGTGTGTGCGAGGCCCAAAGGAGCATGTGGAGTGCGCGTGAGTGCGAGTGAGTGCAAGTCTGTGTGCACCGGTCCGCCCCAGAGGGGCTGGGGTTGGAGGTGTCAGCCTCCAATGGCGACTGGGTCTGTCCCGTTCCTGGGCTTGCCTCCTCTGCCCAGCCGCTTCACATGAGCTCATCAGAGAGGCTCCAACTCAAGATGCTGTTCCCACTTCGACATGGAGGACAACGGCCACGGGGCGCTTCTGGAGCCACATGGGAGGCCTGGGTTCAGGTCCCAGACTGGCCTGAACGCAGGGCGTGCCGCCCATGGTCCTGCCAGCTGGGAGACCAGGCTGGACTCGGCAAGGTCCTCCCGAGTCTCTCTTGCATGCTCTCTCTAAGAAAAACAAAGGCAAGCCTCAGTGGTACAAGCGGTAGGCTGCCACTGTCTAACGGCTGAGGCTGCTTGGGAGGCCCAGGTTCGGTTCCCCATCCAGCCTAAACAGGCTGGGGCAGGAGCCATGCCTGTATGCCCAGTGAACTGGGAGGCTGGGGCAGGATGTGGCAAGACCCTATCAAAAGCACCCCTTCCTCCCCTCCACAATCTCACACTCGCAAAACCAAAAGCCAGAAAGCACCCCCATGGGGAATCCCACCCCACTATCCCCCACTCCTTGTCCCAGAACAGCCCAGGGCTCAGTAACGGCCCCCTCTGGCTTCCCACACTCCTGCCCGGGGTCTCGGGTGCAGGTAACTCCTGGGGGTGCAGCACAGAGGCCCCGAGAGTGCGAGTGCTTCCCCGGGACTGGGCGGTCCCTGCTTCCCAGCCGACACGGGCTGCAGGTGCACACGTTCCCCTCAGGACCCATCCCTTTCTCAGTATGTGAGGACGCCAAGAGCCTGCTGGGGGCTGTGGGGAGATGCTGGCGTCTGACTCCAAGGCTTGTTGGGGTGTGGAGGAAAGCCTGTCGCAGCAGAGCCTGGTCCCAGGGAGTGCCCCTTAGCCCTCGGGGACAGAACCGGGTGGGGCTGGTGCACCTGGAGCACGAACCAGAGGCCAGCGTCGGGGTAACCGGCTCCCACCGAAGGCCCGAAGGAGTACGCGAGGCCAGGATCCGGGCAGGAGGCTCAGAGGTTCCAGCTCCAGGCCTGCAGGCAGGCCCCTTTCAGGACCACCCGCCACACCCTCAGGCCCTGTGGTCTTCTACACCAAGTTTCCACTGTCCCTTTAGCAAAGGGTGCGCCCAGCCCCCGCGGACAGCCCCTCTGCTCCTGGAGCCCTCTCGCATGTGGCCAAGCCCCTGCCCACTGCCAGGGCTGACCTGGTGCCCCTGCTCTGCTGGGCCCCTCCCAAGCCCGCACTTTCACTCCTTGTGCACCAGGGGAATAAAGAACGGAACTTTGGCTCCTTTATTTTATACATGATGCTTGTTTTAATGCAGCCAAAAGTGATATTTGCTTTTCTCAGAACCATGACCAATACAGGATGCAGTGACCGGCTCATTCCGTGAAGCCCCTGGGCTCCTCCAGGGCCAGGGACACGAGTAGCCTCCAGCCCGTCGGGAGCCGGAGGCGGCGTGGCCCCCCGCCAGCTCTGGCAGGCCTGC